AGCTTGATCCCAGGGTCCTGGGATCGAACCCCACATCCAGCTCTCTGCTCAGCAAGCAGCCTGCTCCCCCCCTGCCCCCTGCACTCTCTCTGCCTGACTCTCTGCCTACTTGTGATCTCTGTCTGTCAAATAAATACATAAAATCTTTAAAATAAATAAACAAACAAATAAATAAATGAAAACCAGGTGGGATACCCGGCTGGCTCTGTCAGAAGAACATGCAACTCTGGATCTAGGGGTTCGAGCCCCATGTGAGGTGTAGCGATTACTTAAAAAAGTAAAATCTTACAGAAAAAAGAAAAGGAAACACAGCATATAGATTTACTTCATTCCTTTTTTCTCCAGCCCTTAAGTATGAAAAATTTCAGACATAGACCAAAATGGAAAAATTTTTAGAGTGAGGACTCAGGTACCCACCACCTAGATTCTACCATTGCTTTATTTGCTTAATCACATTTCTTTCTTGTTTCTTTTTTAAGATTTTATTTATTTATATGACACAGAGAGAGAGCGTGAAGGAGCACAAGCAGGGGGAGCAGCAGAGGGAGGGGGAGAAGCAGGCTCCCTGCTGAGCGGGGAGCCTGATGCGGGGCTCAATCCCAGGACCCTGAGATCATGACCTGAGCCAAAGGCAGACGTTCAATGGATTAAGCCACCCAGGCATCCCTTGGCCACATTTCTATCCATCTCTCCATCTCTTTATCTAAGTTGTTCTCAGCTGGGAAGCTCTTTTCCCTACAGGGATATTTGACATTGTCTGGGGACGTTCGGGGTGTCACGACTGGGTGGGGGTTTACTGGCATCTCCTGGGTAGGGGCGAAGGAAGCTGCTAAGCATCCTACAGTACACAGCACAGCCCCCACCCCACCAGCAAAGGTCAGTAGTGTCAAAGTGCAGAAACCCTGTTCTGTCCAGTCCTCAATCCGTCTGCTTCTCTTGCTTTCCAGGCAAGTGGTGGACATCAGTATCCTTCGCCCCTTGCATTCAGCATGGTTTGTTTGTTTGTTTTTAGCATGTCTCATTCTTCGAACAGCTACATTGTATTCCAGGGGCTCCTGGCTGGCTCAGTAGGAAGAGCCTGCGACTCTTGATCTCAGGGTCCTGAGTTCAATCCCCACGTTGGGTGTAGAGATTACTAAAACAAACAAACCAAAAAAAAAAAAAAAAAAAGCTACATAGTATTCCAGAGTATAAATGTAATACTATAAACCCCTTACCCTAAGTTAGTTATGTTCCTTTATCAATATTATAAACAAAGCAGCGGTCATCTTCTGCATATGTATTTTCCTCTGTACTCATTCTATAATATCTGCATGACATTTTCTATTCTTTTTTAAGTGATCTCTATAACCGACATGGGGCTCATGGGGCTCAAACTCATGATCCCAGGATCAAGAGTCACATGTTCTACCGACTGAGCCAGCCAGGCACCCTTGCGTTTACTATTTCTAGAACCATAATTGCTCCAGCAGTGACTGGATATAAGTTGTAGATCTGGATACATATTGCTTAATTACTCCCCAGAGAACATGTAGTGATGTACAGAGCGATAAGGCTACATGTTATCTGATAGGTAAAAGGGAAAAAAAAGTTCTGCCATTATTCTTGAAACATTCATCCCCTGATTATTTATTTATTTATTTATTTATTTTAAAGACTTTATTTATTTATTTGACACAGAGAGAGAGAGAGAGAGAGAGAGATCACAAGCAGGCAGAGCAGCAGGCAGAGAGAGAGAGTGGGAGGCAGACTTCCTGCCAAGCAGAGAGCCTGATGCGGGCCGATCCCAGGACCCTGAGACCATGACCTGAGCCGAAGGCAGAGGCTTAACCCTCTGATTCACCCAGGTGCCCCCATTCCCTGATTATTAAAAAAAAAATTTTTTTTTTTTTTTAAAGATTTTATTTATTTATTTGTCAGAGAGAGAGAGGGAGAGAGAGCAAGCACAGGCAGATAGAATGGCAGGCAGAGGCAGAGGGAGAAGCAGGCTCCCCGATGAGCAAGGAGCCCGACGTGGGACTCGATCCCAGGACGCTGGGATCATGACCTGAGCCGAAGGCAGCTGCTTAACCAACTGAGCCACCCAGGCGTCCCTTAAAAAAATTTTTTTAAAGATTCTATTTATTTATTTGACAGAGAGAGAGACAGTGAGAGACGGCACACAAGAAGTGGGGAGAGGGAAATGGAGAAGCAGACTTCCCGAGGAACAGGGAGCCCGACCCAGGGCTCAATCCCAGGACCCTGAGATCATGACCTGAGCCAAAGGCAGACACTTAACAACTGAGCCACCCAGCCACTCCTCTACCCACACTTCTTACATGCACTCTCCCCTTTCCTGTTTAATATAGTTATGTAATTATTTTTGTTAGATTAATACCCAGCACTGGGGCTCCCGGATGGAATTACAAGTGGGAGGAGGAGGGAGCTCAGGCAGAGAAGTGGGTCTAAGATCTGCAAGTTTCAGGAAGTATTCTCAACAGCACCATGAGGAAGTGTGGGCATTTGGCGAAGGGGAATCCTAAAGGAACAAGAGCTCCAGGGGTGTACAAACAATGACGCAAGAGAGAGAAGGAAACATTGCAAGAGGGAACGTTCTGAGTAGGGAGAGGGGAAGGGATTCAGAGCCCAAGTGGAGGCATTCAAACATGGTCATGGTCATGGGAGGGACAGCACTATATGTACCTCTGTGGGTGAGCTAGCAGTGTCCCTGGGGTAAGCATCGGGAAGTTTTCTTTTGGTGGCTTCTGTTTTTTTAGCAAAAGAAGAAGTGAGAGCGAAGAGGGGGAGGGACGCTGGAGGTTTTGAGAGAGAAGGTGAGAACAAGATTTCTTAGAGAATGGAGAACAGAGCCAGAGAGGCCTTGCAGATCAGTTCTGAATGGTCACTTGAGCTTTGCTGTCACACAGCTCAAGTGTGTCCACTCGCAAGCTCAGCTGGGTGGGAGCAGACACAGAAAAGGCAGAGTCCATTTTAACCAGGGCTGGGGTTTGGCCAGGCAGGTGTGCTGGAGGGAGAAAGTGCAAGGAAGTTAATGTCATGTGTGCAAGGACATGACTGTGGTGCTCGCCCTTAGAATCTAAGACAGGGAGAGAGGACATGAGAGGAGGTGAGGCGTTAAAGAAAAAAAGGGTTGGCTCGAAGGAGCAGAGGTACCAATGGCATCATGGAATTGAAAGGCCCTTTGTGGGGCGCCTGGGTGGCGCTATTGGTTAAGCATCTGCCTTAGGCTCAGTTCTTGATCCTGGGATTGAGCCCCACATCGGACTCTGCTACCCCCACTCATGCTCTCTCTCTCTTTCAAATAAATAAATAAATAATAAATAAAATGAAAAAAAGAAGGAAAGGCCTTTTATGATTTTGGCCTCATTCCCTCTCTGACGATTATCTCTCCCCCCTCCCCCTTGCTCATTCAGTCTAGCAACATTGGCCTCCTTGTTGTTCCACAGACAAACCCAGACACGCTCCTACCTCAGGGCCTTTGCACCGTCTGTTCTGCCTGAGTGTTTTCCCTCCAGAAAAACCCTATTCAGCCCCTCTCCTCCTTCAAATCTTTACCCAAGTATCACCTTCTTAGCAAAGTCTATCCTGAACACCCTATTGAATGTGGCAATCATCCTCTCCCCAAATTTCCAATCTCCTTTACCCTGACCTATTCCTTTTTCATAGTCCTCAACCCCTTTGAATATTTAATTGAGTCTAAGATGTCATCAATTGTAAGCTATGTGTATCTTAGGACCCCTGATACTGTCTATACTGGTAATTCTGTTATCACATTGAATGCCTGTTTCCCCATTATAACCTCATCTCCACGAGGGCAGGCATCTTGGTTTCATTTACCACGGTGTCTCCAGCACCTAGGACAGTTCCCAGCATCCAGTAAATGCTCAAGTAAATACTTCCAACAACCCACTTTGAGCACCACTGCTTTAGGGGATATCCCTGACACAGAGGATGGAGAGTCAGTTTCTCCACAAGAAATCTTACCACATTTCTCCCTCCTCTGTCTTGGCAGCTGGGATATTCAGTCTGGACCCCTCAGAATCTCCTCACCCGGATTCTGCCTCCAGTCCTAATTCTTACTTGCCCCAAGTGATTTCTGAAAGGTGCTGCCTGCAAATTCCGAAAACGGCCACACGGTGGTGGTGTGGGCCTATTTCCCCAGCCAAGATCAGTCTGTCCCTACCCACCTCACGAGTACCTTTTCTTTTCTTTTTTTTTGGGGTGGTGGGGGGGAGAGTCCTAGTCCTGATTTATTCACTCTAAGAACCATACTCCCAACACCTAGAAATGAAAAGCCTTGTGATTATTCTCTATTAGCTATGGGGGGAAAAACTTTTCTAATCAGTCTATTTTACATGACTTCAAATAATACAGTTTCATTTTTTTTTCACATCGATTTCAATGTACATTTTCTGAAAGTCTTAAAAAGTTAGTATACATGCTATAAAAATGGTGGCGTCTACACACATTTTTACATTAACAATAAAATTCAGAGCTTTTTGTATTCGTGAAGAACCAGTCTCTTTCTTTAAAAAAAAAAAAAAAAATTATTGGGGCACCTGGGTGGCCCAGTCGGTTAAGTGTCTGCCTTGGGCTCAGGGTCCTGAGATCAAGTCCTGGTCCCCCCCCCATCATGCATGTTTTCTATCGCTCTCTCTCTGACATAAATACATCTTTCTAAAAAAAAAATTATTTAAAAAATTTTAAATTAAAAAAAATTTTTTTGGCTGGGCACAGTATACTTTATTGATGGTACATGACAAAGTAGGGCTCCCCAAGCCCCTCCCCTTCTCCAGGGAGTCTGGGATGGAAACAGTGGAGGTTGGGAGATTCTCAGTGTTTTGGGGGATAAGTTGGGGCAGGGATTCCCCAGCAGCTGAGGGCCTCTCTCTTCCTTTTGCTCTGGCTGGGGCTGGTGGTCCAGGGGGCTCTTACTCCTTAGAACCCATGTGGACCATAAGGTCCACCACCCGGTTGCTGTAGCCAAATTCATTGTCATACTAGGAAATGAGCTTGACAAAGTGGTCATTGAGAGCAATGTCAGCCTTGGCATCGAAGGTAGAAGAGTGGGTGTCACTGTTAAAGTTGCAGGAGACAACCTGGTCCTCAGGGTACCCCAGGATGCCCTTGAGGGGGCCCTCTGATGCCTGCTTCACCACCTTCTTGATGTCATCATATTTGGCAGCTTTCTCCAGGTGGCAGGTCAGATCCACGACAGACATGTTGGAGGTGGGGGCACAGAAGGCCATGCCAGTGAGCTTCCCATTCAGCTCAGGGATGACCTTGCCTACAGTCCTGGCCGCACCAGTGGAAGCAGGGATGATGTTCTGGGCAGCCCCTCGGCTGTCACGCCACAGCTTCCCAGAGGGGCCATCCACAGTCTTCTGGGTGGCAGTGATGGCATGGACGGTGGTCATGAGTCCCTCCATGATGCCAAAGTTGTCATGGATGATCTTGGCCAGATGAGCCAAGCAGTTGGTGGTACAGGAGGCATTGCTGACAATCTTGAGGGAGTTGTCATACTTCTCATGGTTCATACCCATCACGAACATGGGGGCGTCAGCAGAAGGAGCGGAGATGATGACCCTCTTGGCCCTGCCCTTCAAGTGAGTCCCAGCCTTCTCCATGGTGAAGACTCCAGTGGACTCCACAACATACTCAGCACCAGCATCGCCCCATTTGATGCTGGCGGGATTTCGCTCCTGGAAGATGGAGATGGACTTCCCATTGATGACAAGCTTCCCGTTCTCAGCCTTGACTGTGCCGTGGAATTTGTCATGGGTAGAATCATACTGGAACATGTAGATCATGTAGTTGAGATCAATGAAAGGGTCATTGATGGCGACAATATCCACTTTGCCAGAGTTAAAAGCAACCCTGATGAACAGGAGCACAATATGGCCAAATCCATTCACTCTCGACCTTCACCATCATGTCTCGGGCACGCGGCTGGCACTGCACCTGAAGATGAGGCTGTCTGTCGAACGGGGAAGAGCAGAGAGCCTAATTTAAATTTTTTTTAAAATTTATTTATTTATTTATTTAAATTGAGAGAGAGCTTAAGAGAGTAGGCATGGGGGAAGAGCCGAGGGAGAGAGACAACTCTCACAACCCCTGAGATCATGACCTGAGCCAAAAGCTTAACGGACTGAGCCACGCAGGCTCCCCTTGAAAAACCAGTCTCTTAATTTGACATAAGTTACTATAATCCAACAGGCATTATTTTTTGAGATTTTATTTATTTGACAGAGAGAGACACAGTGAGAGAGGGAGCACAAGAAGGGGGAGTAGGAGAGGAAGAAGCCTGCTTCCTATGGAGCAAGGAGCCCGATGCGGGGCTAGATCCCAGGACCCTGGGCAGATGCTTAAGGACTGAGCCACCCAGGCGGCCCCCAACAGGCATTTTTTTAAAAAAGGTTTATTTATTCATTTTAGACAGAGAGAGAGCTTAGGTAAACAGGGGGAGGAGCACAAGGAAAGAGAGAGAAGCAGGCTCCCCACTGAACTAAGAGCCCCAGATCAAGCAGGGCTCAATCCCACACTCTGAGACCATGACCTGAGCTGAAATCAAGAGTCAGACGCTTAACCAACTGAGGCACCCAGGCACCCTGGCATTTTGTGTTTTTTAATATTTTTATTTTTAAGTCATCTCTACATCCAAAGTGGGGCTCGAGCTCCCAACCCGGAGACCAAGAGTCACATGCTCTTCTGACTGAGTTAGTCAGGCGCCTGCTGGCAAGCATTTGTTAAGCACCTGGCCCAAGGAAGTAGTTAAAAAAAAATTTTTTTTTGCTTTTAATTTTTAAATTGCACCTTTCCAGTTTCTTGGGCTGAAGTCCTGAAACATCAGGGTCTTTGTAGCCTCCCTTTCATTGTAAAAGCAAAAGAATAAACGCTTCATCTTCGGGGGCCCCCTGCCCAAGGTAGCCTTTTTGGGACTCCACACTCAGTATAACACAATCCCACCAGAAGACTCAGGATTCGACTGGGTAAAGGATTACAGGATTTTTTAAGTCACCATTTTATGTAATCTCCTAGCAATCCTGTAAAAGAGGGATTATGAAACACTTCACAGAGGGTGGAAACTGAGGAGTGGGGATAGGGGAGGGAATGGCCCTGGTGTGCTGGACGGGCGTCGGGGGCTGGATTTGAACCTCAGTGTTGAAGTTTCAGACACCTTGGCCTCAGGCCAGACACAGGCTTTCATTCAAATAGCCTATTACTTTTGCTCGTGTTCCATTGGCCAGAATCCAGTCACGTGGCTGCACCGTCTGCAAGAATATGCTGGGAAATGTAGTCCGCTGGGGTCACCCAGGGTAAGGGAACGGTTTTCTGAGCGCTGAGCCAATGTTGGACACATCTGACCTGCAAGGCCTCTTGATCCGACAGCCTTCAGGTCCGATCTTGTCTGGCACCCTCCCCCCATCCCCATCTCATTCAGCTGATTCCAACCTGGCCTTTTAAAAATATTTGACCACAATTTGACCCTGCTTTCTTTTAATATTTGACCACAATTTTGAAAAAATTGTGTTGCACGCGACAGTGCTGCCTGAGCCCTCCTGTGTCAGACTGCTCTTGTCGCTTTCAAATGTACAATAATTCTATCTTTTGAAATAACATCTGGCTGTGTGTCTCTTGTGCGTCTATGTTGAAGTGGGTATCACTTTATTACACATTAGCTTCTCTTTATACATCTTTTGTGTTGCAGTTGGTGAAGCAAATGGTATTTTGTTATGGGGACATAGCTCAGCTATATTATCTTCGGGTTTCCCTTCAGAATAGCAAAGGCAGGGGCGCTAGGGTGGCTCAGTGGGTTAAGCATTCCAGTCTTGGTTTCAGCTTAGGTCTGATGTCAGGGTCATAGGATCCACCCCCGCTCTAGGCTCTAAGCTCAGTGGCCGTGGGCTTGAGTTTCTCTCTCCCTCTGCCCCTATCCCAGCTTTCTCTCTCTCTCTCTCTCTCAAATAAATAAATAAATCTTTAAAAAGAAGAATAATAAAGGCAGAATTACACATTGCAAAGTATCTGTGAGAAAAAGAAATAGAATTGGTCACCAAAGAAGTACAAATTAAAACAACAACCAAATATCACAACAGTGAAATACCACCTACTAGAATGGCTATAGTCAAAAAGATATAAAAACAAGTACTGGTAGGGGCGCCTGGGTGGCTCAGTCCGTTAAGAGTCTGCTTTCCGCTCAGGTCTTGGTCCCAGGGTCCTATGATCGAGTCCCACATCAGGGTCCTTGCTTAGCGGGGAGCTTGCTTCTCTCTCTCCTGCTCTCTCTGCTTGTGTTCTCTCGCGTGCTCTCTCTCTCTCTCTCTGTCCAAGAAATAAATCAAATTTAAAAAAAATTCCAACTTCTTAAAGGAATGGATATATGTTCCATATAGATCTGATCATCATCAAGGAAAGACTTCAGGACAGTTTCCTTCTACCTAATCAAGTACTGTGGATTCTCTTTGAAAGCTATTATTTTTATCATTTTGGCATGAGAAGGCTATGCTTTTTTTTTTTTTTTTTAGTGCTTTCTATCAACAAGTTATTTTTTAAAAATATTTTTCCTGGGTCTAGGTTTGTAAATCAGTTTATTTAAAATCAATAACCAGAGCGCCTCTAAAATCAAGAAACTTGTTAACAACCAAAAAAAGACAAACATGCCTCAAGTCAAACGTGTGCAAAAAGGAGCTAAAGGTCGGGAGATTGACGCCGAGTATACCCTTGGCCCGGAGCCCAGAGAAGTACAGGGATGATTTAAAGCCACCGAGCTTCTGGACCGAAGGTTAAGGACTGGCCACGCCCCCCGGCGACCCGGCGCCGGATCGTACTGGTCCGGAACTCTTCTGCCAGGCCTCAGTGGAGCTACCTCTGACGGTAAACTTCCGGTGAGCACACAACTTCCGTGCGGGGCAGCCGATTTGGCTAGTCCTAAACGGGCCGGAAGTCCGTCACTCCTGGCTACCCGCCCCTTTCCTAAAGTGACGCACGGCGGGGTTGCCGGAAGAAGTGGCGAAGTTACTTTTGAGGGGATCCGAGAAGCGGCGGCGTGCCAAAGGATACAGAGAAGGAGGAGGAGGAGAAGCAGAGCAAGGGGACAGAGGCAGGTGCACTAGAGTGTGGGGGAGACGCGGGAGGCTCCCCGGGCCCGGGGCTTTCCGGCGTTCCCTGCGCCGCTCCGCTCAGCCCCCTTTCTCTCCTTTCCCCCCCTCCCTTCTGTAGCTCGCGCTGTCTCCGGTTGTTTCCAGGGCAACGGGAGTAGGAGACCCCGCGAGAGGCCGCCCACAAGACCCTCGCGCGCAGCCATGAGCCCCGCCCCCCACTGGTGTTCGGAGAGGGGCGGGACCTGGAGCGAGGTGTGGGGGCGGAGCGTGATGGGAGGAGGTGGAGGCGGGGCATAATGGGAGATGGGGCGGGACCTGGAAGGAGGGGTACCGGATGGGCGGGGCAAATGGGGTGGGCGGAGCATTATGGGTAGAGTGAGGGTGGGACCTGGAAGGGTTGGGCGGGACCTAGGAGGAAAAGATGGGGGCGGAGCATGGGGAGCGGGTGGGGTCAGAGTGAAGTTGGGGGTGGAGGAAGTGAGGGTGGAGCACGATTGAGGCCGTACCTGGAAAGAGGGAGTGGGCGGGATCTGGAGTGGGTGGGGCCTAGGGGAGGGGTGGAGTCTAGTGAGAGCCGGTATTGAGACCCTGCAGAGACTTGGACCAGTAGGGGGTGGGCTCTGTCAGAACCGGAGAGGCTTTATAGGCTGGCAGGGATTAGGGGTGGGTTCTGCATGCAGTAAGGGAGGAGTCTGGAAGGATGGGAAGAAAGAAGTGCCCCATCAAGATGGGGGGGACTGGCCTCACCTGACCCTTCCTGGCCCCACAAGGCCCTCAGTCCTCCTGTTACCTGCAGGTTGCTCCGTGACTCCACCATGTCCACTCCCACTACCAGTTCCCTGGACACTCCCTTGCCTGGTGAGTGACCTTTTTCCAAGCCCAGTCCCCACTCCCGCACACTAGTCAGGAGAAACTCACTGTGCTTCCCTCTCCCAGGAAATGGCCCCCCTCAACCCAGCGCCCCCTCTTCTTCACCAGCTATAAAGGAGGAGGGTCCTGAACTGTGGCCTGCGGGTCCAGACCCTGATGTCCCGGGCAGTGATTGGGCTCGCTCAGCCTGCAGCGCGGGTGAGACGGGCTCAGGGGCAGGGGCTGGGAGTTGATGGGGGATTCGGGAAGGGATCTAGGAAGGGAGAAAGATCAGAAATGAGGATGGGAGGCTCCCAATTTCTAACTGATTTTTTTCTTCCATACCTATTTGCCACTTCTTTTTTGTCCTGTGAGTGTATTTTTTTCCTACTTGATACCTCTTACTGTCGTTTGTTCTTTGGGGTTCACTGACACACACACCTTTTCTTCTGAATTGCTGTCTCCCTAGATCACTCTCTGTGCTCTGGCTCTTTGTTTCTTCTCCCTTGTGGGGGTGACTCTGGCTGCTGTTTCCGTGTGGCTCTGTCTCTCATGGCTTCTATTCACTTCACCCCAGTCGTTCCAGACCCTGCAGAGGAGCCGGAGCGCAAGCGAAAGAAGGGCCCGGCTCCGAAGATGCTGGGCCACGAGCTGTGCCGCGTGTGCGGGGACAAAGCCTCCGGCTTCCACTACAACGTGCTCAGCTGCGAAGGCTGCAAGGGCTTCTTCCGACGCAGTGTGGTCCGAGGCGGGGCCCGGCGCTATGCCTGCCGGGGCGGCGGGACCTGCCAGATGGACGCCTTCATGCGGCGCAAGTGCCAGCAGTGCCGGCTGCGCAAATGCAAGGAGGCCGGGATGAGGGAGCAGTGTGAGTGTCGGGGTGGGG